TTTTTTGGAAAAACAGCGATTTTTCTGAAAAAACTTCACTTATGTCCACACTGCAATTGTGTTCTTTTTTTTTGGGGGGGTCAAACAGAGGGGTTTTTCCTGACATTGGTAAACTTCTTTCTATGAGGAAGTCTTTTTCCAAAAGAGGAAGAGGGAGTTCTTTTGAAGGAAGAGGAAAAAGCACAGGTGCCCTGGGCCACTCCATCCATAGTAATTGCATCTTAAATGTGAGATAGCATCAATGCTGAATGGACGCTATCTGTCAAAAAAGCAGATGTGCTTTGGCAGTGCAGATGCTCTCTTTTGGAAGAAGTTTTTTTCTGGAAGAGATTGTCTGAAAACTTCTTCTGAAAGAAGCCTGCAGTCTAGATGTAGCCTAAGTCAGTACAAACTGAAATCTAACACAATGACTTTAGACTGAAATTTAACTACAGTATTTATATTTGTCCCTATCCATGTAATTATAAAATAATTCAGACTCTGGGTGCTCTGTGGCTGGAGCATCCGGAGAGAAATATTAGTGTGTGCAGAGCACTCACCTATAGCCAAGCTCCCCATTCTGTGTCCCTCTCGAGCCCTGCACCTCTCACCCAGTGGTGGCCCCACTCCTCCTACACTCTCCCAGCACTTCCAAAGCAGTGAAAATTAATTGTAGTTAAAGTTCTTAAACTTACCAGTACATAAAATGCAATTTTGTGCATGCTTCTTTGGGTTTGCATATACAATAAGATTTGCCCAAATATCTGGAAGGCATTTTAATTAAGGGAAATTGAAAACATGTCCCCTAGAATTGTCAATGATTATAGCTAGGTAGCAATCTCTCATGAAGCAAAAAATTGCTGAACTAAAACTAGAAGAGACTTATTTGCAGTATTCTGCAAACTATAGGGATAAAATCCTGGCACAACCAACTTCAATGGAAGGTTTGTTACTTCAATTGGGTCAGAATTTAATACTAAAAATTCATTGTTTTTAGCTCTTCTTACTGTAAAAGTGAGATTTTCAGGAAGTATGCATAAATAAACACACCTGAAACAACATGACCAAAAGCTTGGGACTTAATTCATTTGAAATCTAATATTGCAAAGAGCCATAATTGCAGAATCCAGCTGGCCAATGCACAATCTAATTTTTCTACCAGGATGACTGTAGATTTCCCTTGTGGATATGGAAAAGCAATACCCTGGATGTTCTGCAACTGACCTTCAAAGTTCCTGACTGCCTGCTATCCACTTTTTATTTAGTCCTTGTAACTTCCACTTTAGTTCTCCTGGCTGAGACCTGTATCTGTCACAGATCTGAACTGATAAATCCATACAATAAAAATCCTTATATGTTTGATAAAAATCCAGTTGGAATCCAGGCAATGTATTTGTTAAATTGTTATTTTGAAAGTGATCCTGAACTCACAAATTTGGCCCCAAATTTAAATTATATTAAATAGAATGGAAAATATTTTACAAACCTTAGACAAGAAAATATGTTCTCAGGACATGGATTTAACTACAGCAGAATCAACTGTTTTAAAAGAACTAAACATTCCTCTGCAATCATGAGTGTAGTGGCTTTTTTATTGGCAGGGATGGGGGCTAAAGTTATTCAGCAATAGCTATTGAATATCACTTTAATGAGAGTTTTGTGCCGTAATTAAAATTGACCAAATTTAGTTGAGATAAATTAACTTCTGTTCCAAATTGTTTCCTGTATTTACTGATGCAATCCTGAACAACCTAAGTCTCAGTTGTCTACACCCAGAGCCTGCAAACCAAACGTTACCGTTCTAAGAACTTGGGCCCTGACTCTGCAAACACATGTATAACTTTTCTGCTATAAGCAATCCTTACTGAATTCTCATAAGTACACACATGCTTATATGTTTACAAGACTGGCTCCTTGAATGTGAAACTGACTATAAACAACAGTGAAAAAGATTTCCTTGATTTTCATTGCCAATGCCTAGACATATGCAAATAAAGAAACAAAATAGTCAAAACTAAACAGGATTTTTAACATTCTTTCCATTTTAATTATCTATAGTGTTACTAGTAAACTATGATTTATTTACAATATATGATTAAGTTGACATCTTTTTAAAATGTTATCTAAATGACAAGTTTGTAATACAGATTAACATTTTGAATATTTTATTCAGAAAAGAGACCACTCTGAAGTGAAAGCACATTAGCTGTTATTTCTACTTTTCTGCCACTCAACTATATTTTATTTTTTCCTTCCAAAATGATTAGTCTTCCTTGAACTACCACCCATTAAGGCTCAAATCTTCCAGACACACATACAATATGCTTAATTATTTTACCATCTGTGGTGGTACTATTCACAGTAGTAAAATTAAGCACATGCTTACGAGTTTGCAGGATTGGGGCCTAAAAGTGTCTGTCCAGATCCACTCTTAAGCTTTTCAAGCCAATTCCCTGCCCCACTTTCCTAAAGTGGTTCTAAAAGCATGGCATACACTGTTGCCTATAAAATTTTAGAGAAAACTGTGCAGTAAACTTAAGGATAGTCAGATGAATGCATGTTCATTAATCTTCATCTGTAGGTAAAGCCTCCCAATGTGATTCAAGATCCAGGAGCTTACCATGCCAACTGAAAATACATTAGTCACTTTCTTAATATGTAACTTGTGACAAAGTTTATTTACTTAACCACAAGGACATTTCCTAATTAAATATGTTATCTCAGTTTGAAGAATATCAGAGTTTTCACTGCTTGCCCTCATGCATTTTTAAAACAAACTTTTCATAGAACCTGTTAAGTGATCTGAACTTGTATGAATACAATCAGAATACAATTTATATAACTATTTATAAGAGACACAATTGGGTGACATAATATTTTTATTAAACCAACTTCTATTGGAAAGAGACTAGCTTTCCATCTATACAGAGCTTGTTCCTTAGATAACAAGCATTAAAATCTATATTTAGATAAGCACTTTCATGATTCATGCTTAGATTTTCTTTTTTTTTTTAAGAAATTAAGATTATGTATATTGGATACAATTCTTTAATTTATGCTAAATAATACTCTGTGTGTTCAGCTTCTTTGAAATATATTCTATTTAGTATTCAGACCAAATGAGAAATGAATAAGCACAGCAGCATAAGAAGTTCTACCACCACACACAAATATTTCAAGCAGCTACTTCCTTTCTCTATTTTCAATATCTATGTTCTATTTCAAATAGCAGTTTCAAGCAGCTCTGTAGAGAACAAGACCTGTCCATCCAAAATACATTTTGGCAAAACAGAAGAAAACACCTAAGATTTTAGTGACCAATCTTTGAAGTTGTTAGTAATTTCTTGTAATATTACTCCAGTTATTTTATTCTGTAAAGAGATATTAGGTGCAAGTGGTCAGCTGAGTAGAAATGGCTGCTAGCCCTACACCAGCAGTAAGGAACCTTTTTTGGGTTGGGGGCCACTGACCCACAGAAAAATACACGTTGGGTTCGGGCCACACTCAAGTGAGACAAAAAACCCTCTAATTGATGTGGTCCCTGACAGAGACATTCACCATATTCTCCTTCTAAACCAGAGCCTAGGGGGTCCCAGCCTAGATTTTGTGTGCTCTGTCCTCGTGATAGGGCAGCAGGGGAAGGGGGATGGGTTGGAGGGCCAACGCAAACTCCCCAGATCCAGGCAAGCAGGGGCTGCACTCAGCCCCCTGGCCTGAAGTTCCCCACCCCTTTCCTAAACAAAAGATTTTGGGGCTTGATACATGTAATTATAGATATGAGCCTGCAGAATCTAGATGTATGAATTTTGTAAAGGGGCAGACATCCATAATCATGAGGACACAGTGCAAGGAGGGGAGAGGTCAAGCCACCAGGAAATTCTAGCAGCTCTAGTCCTCTGGTCACCTTCAGCAACTTTTTCTCCAAGAGGCAGTCATCTGACACTTGCTTCATGTATCCCCACCCCCAACTGATGGGCTGCTGTCAGAGGGCAGCAGACGCCTTGCTCAGACACAGCCCATGCCTGTCTGAACCTCCGGATCTTGTGTCTCTTATCATGAAGGGTCAGCTATTTATATTTATAGTACAGGGCTTTTTCTTTTCCAGTGACATTTCAATCTGCAACCAGAGGAGGGGGGCGATTCCCAGCCGTGTCTAGGGGAAGAATCACATCTCTTCTCCTGGAACACAAGGGCAACAAGGGAGAGAAAGTAAAACAGGGAAGGAGATGTGGGGGAAGGATGAGAGAGAAAAAAGTGTGAGCTGTAAAAAGCCAGGGAGAGATGGTGGAGAAAGAGAGATGGCAGAATGAAATTGTAGAGACAGATGGTAAAGCGAGATCTCAGAGAGAAGGTCAATGCTTCTCAGGCTGTGGTGTGCAGACCACCGGAGGTCCCCACCAGCTCCATTCATGGACAGTTCCCTCTAAGGTGCATGCCCAGGCAACTGCACACCAGGGAATGAAGGGCCCTCTACCTAATTTGTGGAGCAGAGGAGGCACCTTGCCACTAACAAGGTGCCTGGATTCCAGAGAAGATGCAAGGCGAGGTGGTGACCTTGGGAAAGGGGGGGAGGGAATAAGGGCAGGGGGGAAGGGGTCAGTGAGGTGAGGAAAACAGCAGGTAGGAGGGGAGCAATGGGGTAAGAAGAGGGGGGTGAAGGGAATTCGGAAGGTGCAGACCTGCAGTGGCAAGAGCAAGAGGCAACTTTCCCCAGCTCCAGGGCTGCGGCTGCCCGAGGGTGAGGGCCTCCTTCCCTGCCCCATGTGCTGGAGACCCCCTGGATTAGGCAGAAATCGGACAGACACACAAGCGGAGCGAGAAAGGGGGCGGGCAGCGGAGCATTAGGCAGGCGCCCGAGGAGGAAGGAAAAGGCAGAGGGCAGGGCAGCGCGGAGAGAACAGGGAAGCGGCGGGGGGAGAGGCAATCAAGGGAGGGCACGATCGGGGAAAGCAGGGAGCCACAGGGCCGGGCTGCCAGCAGCCTGCGTGCTGCCGCCCCGGCCCCCGCCGCCCGGCACCCACCTGGCACCGGCAGACGATATCCGCCTCGGTGGCCAGCAGGTCAACCACCTTGCCTTTGCCTTCGTCTCCCCACTGCGCCCCCAGCACCACGGTCACGCGGCTGCCGCCCGGCTCGCTGCGCGCCCGCTTCAGCCCCCCGCCGGGGAGCGTGGCGCGGCCGTTGGAAGCCCGGCTGGCAGCCATGGGGCCTGCCTGGCTCGCTCAGCGCCGCCCGGAGCCGCGCGCTGCCCCCTATAGCCGGCCCGAGTCCGCCCCGCGCGGCGCGCTGACGTGCGGGCCGCTGAGAGGGGGGCGGGGGAAGGAGCCGGCTCCAGCCAGAGCGGCACGGGGCACACACACGGGGCTGTCACTGGGCGCGCGCACACGCACTCACTCCCGCCTGAGGCACCAGGGGCTGTGCCACGGCGCGCGCACACACACACACACACACATGCGCACCAGGGGGTATCACTGGACATACTCTCGGGCTAGGCTGAGGCACATGCGGTTGTGTCACTGAGGGGGAAGGCAGATGGAAAAGCACAGAACATGTGAACAGCCTCAATACATAAAGTTACAAGATGGTTTATTAGATGATGAGCTTTCGTGGGCCAGACCCACTTTTGATCTGAGGAAGTGGGTCTGGCCCACGAAAGCTCGTCATCTAATAAACCATCTTGTTAGTCTTTAAAGTGCTACATTGGCCTGCATTTTGCTTCAGCTACCCCAGACTAACACGGCTACATTTCTATCACTATTCTACATAAAGTTCTGTGTGTGTGTGTGTGTGTGCGCGTGCGCGTGCGTGCACGTGCATGCTGAATACTGAATGCCCCTTGGTCACAGGGACCCACATGACTTTATCTGAGTTGGGGACGCGCATAGCAGCATCACACTTTCTATAGAAATTACAACATTCTTACTGTATTTATAGTTCTATTTAATGGGTAGCAGGTTTAAAACAAAAGGAAGCTTTTCTTCCTTTTCATAGCACACAGTCAACCAGTGGAACTCATGGCCAGAGGATGTTATAAAGACCAGGACTTTTAACAGTGGCATTGGCCACTGTCAGAAGACAGTATAGTGAGCCTTTGGTCTGACCCAGTATGGTAATTCTTATGTTCTTATGTTAATTATTTACTTTTATAAGCATACACAATCTTGTCTACACTGACATTTTCCTCAAAATCCTCCACCACTAATCAGTATTTTAGCTCCATGTTACCTAGTCATGACTCCATTAATTGTGGGGTGATAGCTCTCTAAAACCTAATGAATTATTTAAATCACAGCTCCCTTAACTAATCCTGTCAACACATTCAAGAAAAAAAAGAGGGAGCTGATATGTAAAGATGTACTAAGATATAATCATTTTATGATCATCATGTGTAACCTGGGTCAATACGTATATTGGGGTTACTTGACTTTCTTGTATGAATGCTTAATAGGGGACTGGACAGAACAAACAGGAAGGCAACACAATGTTTTCAGATAAGCAGCCTCACAGCAAACACTGGGGGGAACTTAGCAAAGAATGGCAGGCTTCCAGGCTTTAGGCGGAAGTGACACAGCTGTTATACCAGACAGGGAGGCTAGAGATAAAAAAAACATTGAACAGTTAAAAAACATTCTGAGGAAAAGGAAGGAGATGAGTTTCCATGGACTGTGCAGAATGTTGCCAGTGAACTCTGACAGGGACATAAATTGACAGAGAGGGGGCTCTGTTGAAAAATCTACAGAATGAGTGCTTCCAGGGTCCCCATGCTGTGGAGATAATCACAATTAGTGCCAAGGGACTGCAGTCTAGAGTTAAGTCTGAGAGCGAGAGGATCATGAGTCTACCTGGGACAAGTGTCTTTTGGGGCACATCTCAACAGCAGGGCTAAAGCTGAAATAAGCTACTCAACTTGAGCTATGTCAATTGTGTAGCTTACATCGAAATAGTTTATTTTGGCTTTTGGCGCTTTCTACACAGCAGGAAGTCCAAGAAAGAGCATTCTTCCTCCAACCTCCCTTACTCCTTGTACAATGAGAGTTACAGGAGTTGGAGTAAGAAGTCCTCCAGCTCAACATTGTTTCGACATTATGTTGAAATAACTGCTTGTAGTGTAGACGTGGACTGTTACTTCGGAATAACAATACAATGTATAACCTTAAAAAACAACAAATAGTCTGGTAGCACCAACAAAATATGTAGATGGTATTGTGACCTTTCGTGGGCACATCCCACTTCTTCAGATGATCAGAGTGTTGGATGTCCAGAACCAAAATAAATGCAATGTATACAGTGTATACCTATTTTAAAAATAAATACTCGTTAATAAACAGTCCAGATTGTATTTTGCATTACATACATTTTCTGTGTCTTGTTTCCTGCATCTTATTCTTTGTACTTTTCCCACCAGTATTACACTTGATCATCGCAGGACAATGATCAAAGAGCAATTAAGGCATAAGCAACACAACAACATTTCCTTTCAACTGATTCCACCTGCAGCTTCGATTCTTCCACCATTGTAAGTAGCAGATAAGGGTGGACAATTAGTCACATTTCTCCAATGAAGGCAGATGACATTTTTGACATCTATGAGTTTAATATTTAAGGACCAAATACTGAAGTCCTTTCTTGTTGAAGACAATTGGAATTTTTCCCAAGAAAAAGCTGCAGAATTTGGCCCTCGTGATAAATTAACACTACTTAAAAAACTGGCTCGGGGTCTGCTTCTGCAGCTGTTGGAATTCAGTGGCTGGTTTGAATGCACAGAGACAGCAGGACAGGACCTTGTAATTCAGTGGAACTTCTGTATCACTTTTTATCAATTTAATGACATTGTACTTTCTGCTACTAGTTTTTGTATAAAAAGAAGATGAATAAAAGTTACCACCAGATGTTTAAATCAACCTCCCCTCTGTCCTCCATTGTGGCTGTGTGTTGCTTACATTTGTCATTAGACAGTTCTATATGAAAGATATTCTTCTCAATACTGGCAATACAAGACATGTAATTAAATTAGTGCCTATAAAATTCTAACTAACAAGGCACAAAAGAAATAATAGGAAATAATATTTCTTACTTGACTAACTAAAGCAATATAAAAATTTCAGCATCTCCGCACACCACATTACATACAGACTAGTTCCTTGAAGCAAGCTGGTGTGATGTACTTTAACAATGCAATTGGCTGTAACTTCAGATAATGGAAGCTGTAGTAACAGAAACTAAAGAAAAATGAAGCAGCAGAGAAAAAAAAATCTTGTCCATTATAAAGCTTAACAAATAACATAAGTAAAATCACTTATGTCTGAAATTTCAATAGGAGCCTAAAAGATCCAAGTATCTAAATCCCTTTGAAATTCAATGGGAGCAAGCATCCTAACTCCCCTGGGCTTCATTGAAAATCCTAACCTATATCTTTTTTAGCATTGTTTAATAGTTGGATCTGTGCTCTTACCAGTTTCAGTAAGTGAGATTTTGGGAACAATTTCTTGATCAGACTTGAAGCAAAATGCTTTTGCTTCAACTACCCCAGACTAACACGGCTACATTTTGATCAGACTTGTTCCTTGTAGTTTTCCATAGCTGAAGGCCTTTCTTTATATCTCCTAATAAGGCATCAGTGACACATGCTTCTGGTCTCACATCTCCTTTTTGAACTACGAAGAATGAAATTATAATGCATATCAAAATACTTAGATGCAGTGTCCTCTAAAATCTTGAGAGACAACTATAGCTAAGGACTTGTCTGTTATATGCAGATGTGATCCTAAATTATATGCACAGATACAGAAACAAGACACACGTTTGAAGGACCCAGTGACTTAAATCAAAATTTAACGTCCCAATCCTGCAGAAACTTACACACTGAACTTTATACAATATAAGTAGTCTCATTGACTCCAATAAAACTTGTGCTTAACTCTCTGCTGGATCAAGGCCTAAGAATCCTATCAGTACATGCTATATGGATTCCATTTAATTCATTGCTACCCAATTTTTGTTCCTTGAAAGGAAATTAAGTTCATTTACTTAAAAACCAACCAACCAACAAACAAAACCAACACCAACCCAAAAACAAAACCCACCATTCAAAACACCATTACCATGATACTAAAATGTCTGTATACGTAGGATGGGAATTTTCAGAGAAACTTAAATAAAAAAAAACACGTAGATTTCTAATTTTATCAGGTCTGATAGTTCCTAAATTTACTTTAATAAAACAATGTGAATAGGAGAATTAGCTAAGAATGACCAGAAGTGCTAAAGTAGCTAGCTAAATATTGAAGAAAAAACTTCAGTCCAGATTCCCTAACTCACGTTTGAGTTATACCCATAGGATGAAATTCATCCAGATGCAGTGGACCATTATTGCTTGAGTCCTTCTTAAATCCAATTTGGAGAACCTAAAATTTGGCCCAGTGTAGACAGGCCAGTTATTATATTGGTTGCAATCCTTTTGGTTCACTATCTTCCGATGGAATCTTCAGAGTCATCTTTGAAATTATAAAGGCAGAGGCAGGTGCCCCTTTAAAGAAACTTTTGAAAATGGAGCATAATATATCATCAACAAATGATTTACAAGCATAGTATGGAAAATCTATTTAGGCAGGTAATGTGAGTCTGACCCATCTCACACTTCCCCCTCCAAGAGATATAAGACATCTCTTGGAAGGTCACAGACAGGTCAGATGAAGGGATATCCCTTTACACCTAGATGGGAGGAGGATCACGAATCCTTTTTCATGGTTAATGTGCAGTCACAGTATGGAAATGTTTGAGAACCATTGGTCCATTTAATTCCCCGAAAGCTAAAACTAAGCCCAGAGTCTAAATACATATACCACTGCAGCATGACATCTTCCAGAAATGCGAAAGAGTTGATTGGCTTTTTTACTTGAAAGCTGATCACATCTCTAAAGAAGAGCAAGGTCCTTTGTATGCATTTATAAGGATTAATAACCATGGGTCCAATCTTACTCTGCTTAACTTAACATAACAGGGTGAAGGCCATCCTACGATTAGAAAACAGATGCAGCTTATACAAAACTAAACACTTTTTATATGTACCGCATATTACTAAAGTAAATAATTCACTATTAAACCATCCTTCATGTCACATTATAAAGAGGGATTCTTAAAGCAGGGTAATATTAATTAAGAGCACAGAGGCAGTCATGTTCCTCATAAATCTGCTTAGCCATACAATGCTGGCCAGGAACTCCCAGAGCTTGAGCCACTGCAGTGGGTATCAAAAGAAGATGCATGTTTGGAACAGCTTTTGCTTATAAAC